TTTCAATAATGGTGAAGATTTTCCGATCTGCTGCCGAGCCAGTCCGGACGAAAGGCAAGTGTGGTCATACCTGACAGCAGCTTTTGAGCGCCCGATAGCGTTTTCAACGGTACTTGGTAGGGAATTCCATCAATACACGTTGATTTCAATAATGGCGAAGACTTCTTCGATCCGCGGCCGAGCTAATCCGGACAAAAGGCAAGTGTGCGGTCATACTTCATGGCAGCGTTTTGAGCATCCGTCAGCGTTTTCAGTGGTACTTTACCTAGTCGCTCATGACGCCAGATCGCTACCTATCCTCTCCTCCACGCTGAAAACGTGGTGGACGCACAAAGTGCTGGGTAGATATCTATGTTTCCCAGTCGCTCAGAACGCTCCAAACGTTCAAAACGCTGTTGCAAAATATGGGCGCATTCTGAATCTAATCTATTCCACTTACAGGTGCAATCTGCAAACAAAACCAAAGGCTACTATCAGTCTTTGGGCGAAGGTGGTGTAGTGACACGTGGCACGCTTGCCATGCGTGCGGTCCAGGGATCAATCCCGGATCGGCTCCCGCCCAGGCCAACCTAGTACGTTGGCTGGCCCCGCAAGCCGTAGCATTCAGTATACCACTACGATCCTGAATGGAAGTAGAATGCGTGCCGCATCCCAAAAATGGATTGATTAACGGCGAACACTTTATCCTTTTACAGTCAATTTTGGCTAAATAAGCCGTTATATGTAAGATGTGCTTCCCCCATTCCGAAATATGCAAGTTGTCTGATGTATCCCAAGCCTTAAATAAGGGAAATGCGGCCACTAGTAACAAACATTTGTAACAGAAACATTTGTAGAAGTGATTACCTTTCTTTTTTGAGCCTCTCTTTTCGGTCTTGGCGGACAGTCGTAATCAATGCTTGAAACAGGAAAAGTTGGAGCTACCACGAGCGAGTTTCAACATCTCCTTAGAGTCCTCAACTGAAATAAAATAGGTAAATCGAACTAGTCAAAGGAATCATTTCCACTCCACCCATTTCATTTACAGCGCAGTAAATCAAGACTTTGGAACACTTGGTATCAGACTAAAAAGGGTGTATACGCAGAGACGGTAGAGTACCCCTGTCTCCTACTTTTGCATTTTTGTCACTTTTGCTTGCAGAGATCCTAAAGATACAATGAACTGAATGCAGCCCCTCCCCCTCGCGGTACTAGGTTGAATACTATTCATTCGGGACAGAGACCTCTCGTACATCCAGGGCTTGTGAATTGGTTCCGAGCCCGTCTACGAGGATAAAGCACCACTTTTATATGGTCTGGTCCCCGAAAGTGGAGCCAGTTGGAGGAGGGGAGCAGTCGGCATCAACTATGCTCGGGTTTTCAGCGACTCGCGGCGAGTCGCCCAGTAATAGCCTCACAAAGGGGACATATTCTCCACTAAACCTTAGCCTTGGTTAGAGCAAGGGACACATAGTTTGCTGCGAGCGGTTCCACCCCTCCCCTCACCAAATACGTTATATAGCGTCCCGAAAGCTACCGTCTAGGACTTCATTCGTTGTAATGGCCCTAGATTTGGTGCCCGCCCCCCAGGCAAATCTCTCTGGGCTTGGTTACATCATCACTTAAAACGCAAGTGAAACGGTCGAGACAGCCTTTTTGTGGGGGGCTTTCAGTGGGAGACGGACAAGACAATCGTAATTTTCCACGCCATCGCGCTTGGCGGATTGTGCAGCGATGGGCGATGGAGCGGAGAAACTCAAATTCAAGGGAGAAGAACATTTTAAAGCCGGGTGATATTCTGATAATTTTCTTTCCCCTCAAATTTGTACTCTTCGACCGATTAATATGAAGGCTCATAATGGAGCTCAAGCTCCTTCTAACAATTACTTTTGTCAGTTTTTTATACATTTGGGCGATTGATATACGCGGTGAATTGAGGATAAACAATAGCTTTTTATCTGAAAAAGTATAGCAGAAACTATCCAATTGTTCCACAGCAAGTTCGATACACTGAGAGGCGAGAATCCCATCAAAGCCTCGACACCCAGAAATTATAAGTGTAGTTCGTTGCGACGGTGGGCGTGCTCAGGCGGAAAGCGCTGGGCGCGGTGCCAAACATTCCATTGAGAAAGGAGTTCAAAAAGAATAATTCCTTTCACAGTTCTTAAGAGAGAATTGCAAGATTGGTCATTCAAACCGTTCGTAGTAGTTTGTCCACGGCACAGGTTGGTCGCATGCTTCGCTTCAACAAGAAGACAGATGATACGGTACTTTGAGCGGTCGTGGCACACGCCATACTGCTGACACGGCCCAAGCCTTTCCCGCAGGCGAACTAGAGTATAGCTCCCAATTGCGTGTGGGCTAAAACGAAACAGTCAAAAAAAAACACTTGCAAATGTGAGGCGACTTTTCATAAGAGCGGGACGTCTTTTGGCCTAGAGTACGTCAAAGCCACGATCTCTTCTTCTAACGATAGATGCAGTCGGCGCCTGCGCGCGCTTGCCCAAGGCTAGTAGTGAAGAGCTACGTGGGGTCATTAGGCAGCCTCTTCCTTTCAACAACAGTTACCATTAGAAGCAAGAAAAACGAAGGTTGAACAGATGAAAGACAGAACTAAACAAAGAAACAGTGGATGAATGAGTGAGCGACGGAGAGAAAGAAAGGAAACTGAATGAATGAATTGAATACAAACACAGGCAGACAGACAAGAGAGAAAAAAGAAAGAAAGAAAGATAGAAAGATAGATAGATAGATAGATAGGAGTATGGAAGAAGAAAAGAAAGCAAGTCTGAACGTATGCGTAAATGAATATGGATGAATAATGAATGAATAAATGAACTGAAGGCAGACACAAGCAGACAGGACTGACAGCAAGAAAGAAGGAAGGAAGGGGAAGGGAAGGGAAAGGGAAGGGAAGGGAAGGGATAAGCGGAAAGGGAGGGAAGGGGAAGGGAAGGGAGGAAGGAAGGGAAGGGAAGGAAGGGAAGGGAATCTGAAAGAAAGAAAGAAAGAAAAAAGAATGAATGAAAGAAAAACGAATGAATGAAAGGTAGATAGATAGATAGATAGATAGATAGATAGATAGATAGATAGATAGATAGATAGATAGATAGATAGATAGATAGATAGATAGATAGATAGATAGATAGATAGATAGAAGATAGAAAAGAATGAATGAAAGAAAAACGAATGAGTGAAAGGTAGATAGATAGATAGATAGATAGAGCGAATGAGTGAGTGAATGAATGGATGGTAGGCGCAGACAGACAGACAGGTAGACAGCAAGAAGAAGGAAGGAAAGAAAAAAGAAAAAGTGAGAAAATGAACGAAAGAAATACAGTAAATAAGCAAGTAAGGAAGGAAGACAATAATGATGGATAGATAAAGTGATACTAGATGAAGGGTAAGCATTCCAATGAGAAGGAGGTTCAAAAAGAATTCCTTTCCAATCTGTGGTAGTTTCAAAGGAGCATCGAATCCCCCCTCAACTCCAGTGAAAGATGGAGTAACGGAATCAGTCCTCTCTGGCCTATGAGAACCGTGCGAAAGTTCAGGTTTCCCACCTGTACATGAGGTCATTGCCCTAATTCCACAAATGAGGGGAATAGTCCCAAAACTAGCTTGCCTTCTTTCCGATTTCTGTTTTTCTTTTTTGTTGCGTTCAAAAAATCCAGCTTCAGCAACTACAGACAGCAAGGCAACTCTCTACCAACGA